GGCGTCTACTGAAACGGGAGCACCCGGGCCGTCCACGTCCATGGCGTCCACTTCGGCTGTATGTGAAACGTCTGAATCAACAGAAATAAACGCGCCTAGGTCTACACATCTGCAGCGATTCAGATCAGCAGCAGGAAAGGTGCAAAGCAAAATTCATAGTTTTTCTCAACGTCCACTTCCAGTAAGCAGGAGCAAAATACTCGATGAGTTGTTGCTGAAATTAATAGTTAAGCAATTTCACCCATTTAATTTAGTCGAGCAACCGGAATTTCGCCAATTTGTCCAACAATTAAACCCAGGCTATAGTGTACCATCGCGAAAAACTATTTCAAATACTTTATTAGAGCAAGCATACGTCGCAACAGCAGATAAAGTACGCGCTAAATTACAATCGGCAACGGCTTGCAGTATAACCACCGATGCTTGGACATCGGCTAATAATGAGAGCTATATAGCTGTTACAGTCCATTTTTTAAATGAAGAGTGTTTATTCCAGTCATGTCTTTTGGAATGTTTTGTTTATAATGAAAGACACACGGCAGAAAATATAGCTGCTGAAATAAAACCAATTTGTAAAATAAAATAGGTAAAGTGCAAGCTCTTGTCTCGGATAATGCAGCTAACATGATCGCGACTAGTAGGATTTTAGGTTGGAATCATATTCCATGCTTCGCCCACACATTAAATTTAATTGTGCAAAAAGGGTTGGAGCAAATAAAAGAAATACACACCAGAGCAAAGTCCGCTGTGGAGTTTTTCAAAAGAAGCACACTTGCTTCATCGTAGTTAAAAAATTTTCAAAGGCAAATGGGCTTAGCAGAACAAACTCTGAAACAAGAAGTGCCAACGAGATGGAACTCGTCCCTAACAATGTTCCAGAGCATTGTCAAAAACAAAGAAGCATTGGTATCGACTCTAGCTTTAATCAAACCCGAACTAATATTGCGCGAAGAAGAATTTCGCATTTTGAATACTTTATGTGCCCTCTTTCAGCCATTTTTAGAAGTTACGGAGGAAGTTAGCTCAGAGAAGGAAGTTACTATCTCTAAGCTTATATTGTTCTCCCAAGGGCTAGTAACCTTTTTTTCCAAATATAACGTTAATGGAGAACCGAACGAAGTCATTCTATTCGTCGACAAAATTAATCAAGAGTTGAGAAAACGATTTGGGGACATCGAGGAGCGACTAATTTTGGCAGAATGTACAGTACTCGACCCCAGGTTTAAAAAGCAAGGATTTTCAAATCCGACTGCATTTGAAAAAGTGAAAAATTCAATTTGCAAAAAAGCCGCACTTGTCAAAATCTCTGGTGAAGAAGATGTTTCAGACGTCGGGAATTCTAATGCTGAGCTGAATGACGGCGAGGGTGGGTCGCACCCACCGAAAAAGCATAAATCTTTAATATGGGACGACTTTGACGAGAACACATCTAAACTTCATTCGAACATTAGTCCAATCGCTGCTGCCATTATTGAATTTGATAAATTCATTCAAGAACCCCTATTAGGAAGAAAACAAGATCCTTTCACATGGTGGCGCGAACATAAAATTTATTACCCTAGATTATTTGCAGTAATGCAGAAAAGACTGTGCATAGTAGGAAGTTCGGTGCCGTGTGAAAGAGTTTTTTCTAAAGGGGGAAATATTTTAACTCACCGTAGAAGAAGCTTAACTTCAAAAAAATTATCCAAAATCATATTTTTGAACTATAACATGTAAGTGTGTCTACCGCTTGTACCCATTACCCCTAATCCATGTTTATTTTATTAGATATTATTTTTCTAAGTAATTTTATTTATGTGCAGTTACCTAACCTCACTACGCAACGCGGCATAGAATTTTCTAAGAATTCTACTCCTATCCTAGTACCTAGTTCGTTCGTGTCAAATCGATTCAAATTTAAGTGATGTGATTTTAAATCTTACGGTGGCAGCGATTCATTTCAAACGATTCGTTTTCGTTCGGCTTCGAAATTCGCAGTGGCGCACGAATCACGATTTTATGATGAACGTCTGAACGATGAACGATTCGCAGCGCCGCACACGAATCGATTCATTCATTCACGTACATGAGTCGTTCAAAATGAACGATTCGTTCATGAACGACCCAGCTCTATTGACCAGTACTGTCGGGTCGCTAATCGTATGCAAACTCAGATTTTTCGCCGCCATCGACAATGGTATAGCGGCACTGTTGCTGTCGTCTGTCGCCTGACGCTGTTGCCGTTTTCGGAATCATACCTTCAGACTGTCTGGGTGCAGACAAGCTGCGATTATAGCCTTCTCTGACTCTGCTTCTTCGAGGGATAAGATGGGGAAATGCTCCCTCAAATTATTCAGCAAACCCTCCGCTACTATTTGTAGTGAAGCGATTTTGTATTGTTTCTTCTAACCATATCCAATCTTGCTTCTAGCGACATTAAAGTAGGAAGTAGCATCCCATAGTAGCAGTTTTTCTCGTTCTGCAGCAGGTCTATTGCAGTCGCAATGGGTTGCATAACAATCAAGCATGAAGCAGTACTGGAAAAAACAAAAGTAACATCGGAAACAATGAATAATAGCATACAACATACCTGAAGATATTGAGCTTCGGTTTCTTTCATTATTGGAAGCCCCAATTCAATGCATAAATTAATACATTCTGAATTATTAAAATATGAATCTAAGCACACTGAGAGAAAAAGCTGTTAGCAGTAATTAAAAAAATGTAATACTATATGTGACTACACAACTTGTTATTCACGATAATTAAACAGAGTTTTCTGTACCTGTTTGATTACAGTCAAATTTTAATTTTATTTGTAATTACATCAATTATCGTAGGTATTTGAAAACTTGGCAACAGACATAAAGTGTAGAAACGTAGTTAAATTAGAATGGTTTTTAATTGACTTATTACAGTACGGTATTTATTAGAAAAAAAAGAAAAACGTACATATTACACTTAAAAACAACAACAATCCTATATCTAACAATAAAAAATGAAAAACAAAAGAAAATACCACTTAAGATACAATTAATAAATTGTGATGTAATATTCATTGTCACACAGAGTTAACATGCAGTCACGATAGTGTTTATTGAACAGAAGTCGTGGCCCAGACTTTTTATTATTAATTTAATGGTCTCCTCATCTAATAATTGGAAACTCTCATCTGTGATCCCCTCCGCTAAATGAAATTGCAGTAATATTAGCATAATTGCAACAGTTATTTGCAACACAGATTTTTAAATAATGTATGTCTTGCTACTACGAGCGATTAATTGCAAGTATAGCAAGCCATTTTACGGACATGAGATACAAAATTTTGAAATTTATAATTTTTTTCAAGAAAAGTAGCTACTTTAAAAATTTATTAAAATTAGAAATTACTGTTCCTGGAAACTATCATTTATTACTTGTGTAGGACGCGACGCAAATTCTAATCAAGGAATCTCCTAAAATTACGGCTCTTACATTGAAACACTCTCTATAGTATTTGGATTTCAAACTTGATACCTCCTAAAAAATTAATGGGATCGTATTGAATAAAAGTGCAGTTAATTCGTCCTTATATTCAGCTACATATTTCCAAAATTTGCCCGTCACAAATTTTCAACATAATTTATGTCATTGTTGAAGTTTAATTGAGATTGAGACTAAAATAGACAGGATTTGCAATTATTACCCTCACAGATATCTCTCTCAACTGTGAGCGTGAGACCATTGTATTTAAATACTCGTACAATGGTGAGACGTAGTGGATGGTTGAGAGTGCAAATAAAATTTTTAGCAAGGCGTTTTTCGCAGTACCTATATGCTTTTAGGTGACTAACATACTTTGAAATTATGGCCATACATTTGGCGTTTACTCGCATTACGACATAAAATTTGAACAATTTTCATCAGTAGCTTAAAAACTTGAAAAATAATTTCGATAGACAGCACAGCAATAATAGCAAAAATATAACTCTTTCTACTTACCTAAGAAATCGTCGAAATATACATCAAGTCCCCATTTAATAAGTAATGACTTAAATTCACTCATTTTGGGGTATGGCGTAAATTTCAGCTCTTTGTACACTAGGTATAATAAAACCGAATAAAACGTACACCCGCACAGCACAATCACTGAGAAAAAAGTTTGGTTACAGTAAACAAATATTAAGTTTAAATGTCAACAAACAAATAAAATGTTTTTGTTACCAAATGGTTTACTCAATTATGGCGAGTTAAGATAGCTTAACACCTAGCAATAGTATTTTACCATAAGCAATAAATGATTGAAATTAATCCTAAATATTTGTTTGAAGATAATGCTATTCTTTAACTGTTAACATATAGTTGTTATACCCTAAGCCTCAAACTGTTTCATAGTAGTGTGGTATACTAACTATAAATTATGCTTATGGTTGTGAGTCCCTTTGCGTTTGATGTGCAACCGCCTTAAAAGTCTTTCGGTGCTCTAATAGATTATAAGCGCATTCTTCTATAAATAAAAAGTAAGTATAAATTTGAATTTTTAAAAATTATCATATGTATTTTAATTGATAAGTGCGAGGTGCGAAGATAGCTCAAGTGTACTTCCAGAACTAGGAATCAATAATAAGCATCACTACAGCTTAATCGAGGTTATGTGATGTGTAATGGCGAGGAATATGTAAGTGCGGTCCCAACGGTATGGATCAATCTAGTCAAATGGAATGTAGATGGCCGAGGAAGCAAGAACGTCAAGCAATTTTAAAACGACTAAACCTGCAAGAAGAATGGTTATATTTAACGAATATTGTTGTAAAGGACTGATGCTAAGTAGGTATATAAAATTAAAAGCCTGTGATCGTAAAATTAAGCCAATATTACAATACCGGGTCTTCATTAATTACTGAGACCCACGTGACTGCAGGTGGTTAGGCAACTAAAAATGCGCGAGTGGTAATCCTGATTTTTTTCCCCTAGGAAAGTTACTACTGAAGCCCAGTAATATTTGAAGGCCGAATTAAGTATTTTAGAGAAACACGATATATATTGTACTATTTATTGTTACAAAAGGTGCTCAAAGTGGCCACCGTTCACTTCCAGGCACAAATTCACTCTACGCTTCATATTTTCAAATACACGTTCGAGTTCATCTTGCGTCACATCGTTTATTTCTTGTCGTATCGCCCTTTCCAATTCTTCGAGTGTGTGCAGTCGATTTTTAAATATATTATTTTTAATTCGTCCAAACAAAAAGTAGTCCAATGGTGTGAGGTCAGGACTACTTGGAGGCCACAAACCAGTGCTTATAATTCGATCGCCATAAAATTCTTGGAGGTATCTAAGCGTTTCGTTAGCGGTGTGTGCCGTGGCTCCATCTTGCTGGAAAAATCCATGTTGTAGCTCATCATCTTGCAGATTTTCTTCAATAGCTTGATGCAGAATTGCACGATATCGCTCTCCGTTTATAGTTTCATAAAAAAAAATCGGTCCAATTATCCTCCTTCTTGACATGGCTACCCAAACGCCAACCTTTTGGGGATGTAGAGATGTTTCGACAAAAATGTGCGGATTTTCTGCTGCCCAAGTCCGGTAATTTTGGCTATTAACGTAACCTGACAAATGTACCCATGCTTCGTCTGAATAAAACGTTAGGTCTAACAAATTGTTATCGTTTAAGCGTTCGTTGAACCAGTGGCAATATTGCACTCGACGATCGTAATCAAGTGCATGTAATTGTTGCACGGAAGAAATTTTGTACGGATGCATGTGTAGCACCTTCTTCAAAGCTTTGTGGCAGGTACCAGTCGATAGGCCTATAAAAAATACATTTTATTTTCTATTACACGTAAACTTAGCCGTACCTGTTTGAGCGGAAAGTCGAGAAATCGATTTTTTGGGACTTTGTTCCATTCGTTGTTGAATATCGTTAACAACATTTTCACTTAAAACAGTCGGTCTGCCGGACTTCCCTTTGCAAATGCAGTGCTTGTTTTCATATCGTGTTATTAGACGTGACCTGTGGTTCTTAAATACATCGTAGTCGATATTAACATCAGGGTACTCTTCGGAAAACTGTTCAATGCACGATTGCAGTGAATAGCTCCAAGTTCCATCAGGGTTTCGGTTACCACTGCGGAAATGTGCCATTAAAATAAAAGCATCTTGCTCTGGTGTGAACACCATCTTCCTACAGCGATACACTAAAAATTCAGAATAACTTAATGACAATTCTCCTTAAAAAATTGTTAACTTACATCAGAATAACTTCGTCTAAGAGCTCTGAAAAGAACTGTTTTGGCTGTTGATCTAAGATAATGTTAAAGAAATTCGAAAAAAACGGTAAACACAAGCAAAGATTGACAGGAGGTGAAATAAACAAATATGCAATTTGGGTATTTTATTTTAACCAACTGTCCGTGTCTACCAACATAAAGAAAAAATATTTAAAGCGGGAAATTTAAATTTGGTCACGTGGGTCTCAGTAATTGATGAAGACCCGGTATAAAAATATAAAATATTGGCTTAATTTTACGATCACAGTCTTTTAATTTTATATACCTACTTACCATAAGAGTCCTTTACAACAATATTCGTTAAATACAATATATAATAAATAATAAAATTATATATATAACACACACACAGTTTATTTATTTAGGCAACTAACTACGTTTCGAGGAACACTCTTTCCCCTTTTTCAAGTTTAATTGACAATGATGTATAAATGAAGTACGCTATCTTATGATAAATTAATTAAATTTAGAACGATTTCGTGTAATGGGTCCTTGGTAGGTTAATTTAGTTGTCAAACTGGGAGAATCTTCATCTGGAGAATTTGAATTTTGAAGGGTCCAAATGGGACCTAATTTAGGAGTTGAGATTGTTAAATCTTGATCTGCAGAATTTGAATTTTGAAGGGTCCAAATGGGATCTAATTTAGGAGTTGAGCTTGTTAAATCTTCAGAATTTGAATTTTGAAGGGTATAAACTGGTTCTAGTGTAGATGTCGAAAAGGTTAAATCTTCATCAGGAGAACTTGAATCTTGAATGTTAAAAATGGGTTTAGATTTTGTCTTGATTATATTGTTCCAAATGCGAGGAAGTCGTAAAATATCCACTTGTTTATTAAGGCAATTTGGTCGTTTTTGAATTTCAATAGTATCTCTAATCAGTCGAGCTTTTAAATTGCTCCAAATACAACATTTAAAAGCTCGGCTGATTAGAGAAGCTATTGAAATTCAAAAACGACCAAATTAGTCCCGGATGGGAGTTAAGGGGAAGAAGAGCAGTTTATTGAACTTGCGTAGGAAGATTGCTAAGAAAATGAGGAAAAGCGGCAATACTGTGGACATAATAAAGTCAGCTGTTACGGCAGCAAATATGGCAGTAAAATGTTTAGGTGGTAGGAAAAATGTAAGCGTGCCTAGAATAATTCCCATACCAAAACAGGGCGGGTTTTTACCATTCCTGATACCCCTATTTGCTGGTCTGTCCGCAGTTGGAGCTTTAGCCGGCGGTGCTGCAGGCATTGCTAAAGCAGTTAATGCATCCCGTGACGCTCGTAAAATGCTAGATAAAACATCACGCCATAATCGCACGATGGATTCGATCGCTATAGGAAATAAAAGTGGCGGTGCACTGTACTTGAAACCTTACAAATCGGGAGGTAGTTTGGCGTTGCATTTACGAAAAAAAAACTTCAACAATTGCCAAAGCGGCCGTTGACAGATGTAGATCTACGTAAGCATGCAAGAGGGTGTGTACCATACTTTAGGGATGTGTTTATGCGAGATAGTATGCCTATATCGCTATGGAAAAATGAATCCGGTGTTATTAATTTAGATAACGAGGGTGTGGCACTCATTGGGTGTCTTACAAAAAACGTGGTACTATGATAGTTTCGGTAATATTCCACCACCACGAGAAGTGATTGAGTATTTCCGCGACTGTAAAATTTATTATAATTACGAGCAAGAGCAACAATTTGGAACAACGAATTGCGGTCATCTGTGCTTAAAATTTCTGTATAAATAACACGCATTTTATCTCGGTACCTGTAGTCACAATGTCGACAACCTTCAGCATAGAGGGCGTTGGGAATACAGCCAGTCATGATTTTTATCCACCCTACACCTTCCATCGGAGAAATTGTACGTAATAGGGGTGGTCGGTTTCTATGGCTGTAACAGTATTAGAAATATTCACGCGGGAAACGATAAATTCTATATTAGGAGAGGTGATAATTCCCACGGAATAGGAATTCCTCACGGTGCATACGAGTTGGAAGAGCTAAGCGCGTATATAAAAGCTCGCATTCCAAATCGCTTTAGTTTACGTACAAATAACAATACGCTCAAGTGCGAACTTAGCTGCGACTTTGATATAGATTTTACTCCAAGAGACTGCATAGGGCGCATGCTCGGTTTCGAATCGAAGATATTGGAAGCGAACGTTCTACATACATCTGCTTTAGATATACAAATCATTAAACATACCAACATTCACATAGAGTGCAATCTTATCCTATCCTATCGCAACGGAAATCCCGCTAAAGTACTTTATGAAATAGACGTTTCTGTTCCACCGGGTTACCGCTTAGATAAAATTCCCAGTAATACTCAATATTTGCAAGTAAATACCAGTAGAATTAGCAATATAACAATAAAGCTGACAAATCAAAAGGGCGAACCAATCGATTTCGGTGAAAGTGAGCCTTTTACAGTACGATTAGAGTTAAAAGAATATGGGGTTACGTATTAATCAAGGTCCACTGCCATCCTTCCTCAATACTATAAATAACCGAGGTAACCGGAAATCTACTTATTCTCAATTGGGACAGGGCCCGGGCACATTAACACCAACAGAAATATTTCTTGGAATCCATTGACCTGAAAGTGCAAAATGGTGGGGGCTGCAGACTCGTTAAACGTCTTTCAAAACGCACGTTTTGATGAGACCGTAATCAAGTCCGATATTCACACCTATCTCCCATACGGAGGGTCTTCGAACTTTGGAGTTTCCAGTGAAATCCGTATATTAACTCAAAATCAAGAACTGATAACCGCCACGTACGTTAGCTTCTTGTACATAGAAGGAAAAATTGAATGGAGTCAGTCACAAGAAGAGGGTGCCATTGCAAAAACATGCAACCTAACAAACAATTTCGCTCCATTAACATATTTTAGACATTTCTTCGAGATCAATTTAAGAACTAATTATTTACGTTTACTATTGTTTACAAATGAGTAACAAATAAAATATTGTACATTATACTCCAGGTAATAGTTTCTACTGGCTCTAGGAGATGACAGGCTCGCCTGACGACTCGCTAGTCAACTTCTCCTATCGCCAGTAAAAACTCACTTACCTGGCTACATTGAACTATATACTCTGTAACTGGAACGGCAAAACTTGTGTTTTTTTTATAGTTAGGTTGGGTAAATATAATGTAAATATCACGCTAATACCACTAACATTATACCTAACTTAGTTGATGATAATGCTATTCACATCGTTCAGTTGGAAGACATTTCAAAAACACCCCGGCGTAATAGTAAGAATCCCGAAGATTTCCCTTTAGAGGGCTCAGAAAGGGAAGTAATCTTAAAAAAACGCCAACGCGAAAATAAAAGGAAAGTGAATCAATCACTACGAGTAGCAGGAAAAGGTTATATCATGTTCGGATCTAAAAACCTAGTACCCCCTCGAGTAATAAAAACCAGATGTGTAGGAACCACTTGTACGAAAAATGGGAGGGCATGTCTTCGATTTACTGAAGATCATCGACGTGCGTTATTCGAAGGATTTTACAGTCTTGGCAGTCTACAGCTTCAAAGAGAGTATATTAGTCAGACATGTATCTGTTGGAGAAACAAAACAAAAAACTACTTCAGGTAATTCTAGGAGAAATAAAACCATTACATATTTTTTTCCTTTAAATAGTGAACGTTTAAAGGTATGCAAAATATTTTTTATTAACACACTGGGTGTATCGGAAAAAACTATAAGGACATCTGTAGCAAAAGTTACTGAAACTGGAGTAATAGAAAAAGAAAAGAGAGGAGGAAGAAAAGATAGCATGATCGATAGGGATATAGCTATACGAAATAGTATTACTCAGCATCCATACATCATCCTAAAAAAAACCAATGCGGTCTTTGTATAACGTATAGGACAGGAAATGAGGAAACCAAGGAAAAACTAAAATACGATACTCATATTGCAGAAAAAATTAAAGTACGAGAAATCAAAACACAATGTAAAATCGCAGCAACAAATAATTCCGAAAATAATTTGTGTGCGGTGTTTGATTTACAGCAGGTAATTTATTTACCTATATGCAATGAAGGTGCAATTTTTTATAAAAATCGGCTCTCGGTTTACAACTTGACCGTTTACTCATAGCGTCAAAGGATTGCTCTTGTTACACTTGGCATGAGGGTATCAGCAGACGAGGAGCTTCAGAGATCGCAACCGCCCTTTATTATTTTTTGAAAAACGTGGACTCCCAAAATATACAAACTGTTAGTTTGTTTTCAGACGTCTGTAGTGGACAGAATAAAAATTCAGTAGTAGCCTCAATGATGTTGTATATAGTTAGCATTAGTGTCAACATAAAAGTTCTCAGTTTGCGTTTTTTTGAAGCATATCATGGACAAAGTGAAGGTGATTCTGCCCACAGCGCCATAAGTAGGGTAGACTGGGGTAGGTTCGGACATTTTTTGTTAAGCAGATTTTTTTACTATTATTTTATTTAAACTAAATCTTCTAAAGCTGAAAATATATTGCTTCATATGTTTTTTAACTAATAACCTAGCAATTTAAGAACAAACTTCTCCAGTTTTTTACAAAAAAAGGCAAAACAAAAAAGTGTTAATTGTCCAAAGGTGCCCCATGGTGGGGCAGTTTTGGACACGCATGGGGTACGTTCGGATATGTTTCATACATAGTTTTGACTTTCAAAAGGTATATTTAAACGTTAAAATTATTTGACATTTAAGGAAGAAAAATTGACATTGAATTTTAAGAAACTTGAAAGACGAGCATTTCCAGTAACAGAAGTTGGCCTAGGCAGTTTCCCCACTATTTCTGATCTTGTTATGGTTGAAATATCATCCACGGTGGGAAAGTGGAAACGGTTGTGTGTGTTCCTCAAATATTTTATGACAAACTCGCCGTTTTCTGCAAGCTGTATCACTTGCCCAACGTAATGAATCACTGTTTTCTTGGTGGGAAATTGTACCAGAACGTAGTCGTCACACAAAATCTCCTCATCATCTGCAAAAAAGTAGTAGGTAGACCAATTTAAAAAAAACTAATTATTTTTTACCTAAAAGCTTAGAGAATTCATCGCAATCAGATTCCGTCATGTCAATGTCTGAGTCAGATGAAGAGTCCAGAAATTTGTTCTTTTTTGTCATAAATTTAAAAGATTCTGAATTAGAATCTGAAGATGTATCACTTTCTTTGGGTATTTTCGTTCTCTTTCTGGTATTATTCTTATTTCCCTTCTTCTGGATATTCTGTGTTATTGTGGGTTTTCTACTTTTAAGTGTTTGAATGCTGGTTTTATTTATTACTAATTTTTTCTTGGTTCCAGATTTGTCTAACTTCAACTTCCTTATTTCTTCTAATTCTTCAATTCGAGTTTTCTCTGGCGTGCTTGTGTAAATTCTTGATTTTCCTACACGAGATTTCCTGTTTGTTTTTCGAGGCGCTGCTTTTGGGAACGGTTTTATATCTGATGGTTTCAATATGTGCAATGAAACGATATTGATCAATGGCTTTGTTGCTTCTTTCACAATTTCATTAACTATTGAACGCATCATTGCTGTTACATCGTGTGTGAATTTGTTTTCAGAATTGGTCGATAAATTGTTGGCAGACAAAGAAATAGATGCCTGATTTATATGGAAATTGTCTTTTTCAGATGGAGAAAGGTCAACGTGGTTAACATCTTGGTCAACCGATTTAACACTGGGATCGACAATGGTGACCAATTTTTCAGAATCTTCGTTTCTTTCAGGTTGTGGGTTTGTTCGGTCTGTAGCGTATGCTCCAAAGAAGTCTTCCTCTGAAAAAATTAGTCTGTTGATGGGCCACAATCCGGTGCTTGAAAAACCGCTTATAATATTTTTAGGCGTAAAACTTTGCAGGTAGGGTTCTGATGTCAGTTTGGCAATATCATAAATTGTTACAGGTCTTCCCGGGTTGCTCGAGATGTGATCATTAAAAGATACCTTGCATTTTTGTTTAAAAGGTCCATACACGGTTTTGTCAAGATGTTGCATTTTGTGTGTACAATGTGGTGGAAACGATACCAATACTATTCCATTTTCGCGTGAATAGTTGATAGCCTCAACTGACACATGAGTCTCATGGTTATCCATTAACAAAAGTATGGGATGCATTTTACTGCTCTGAGTTTGAATTTTTATGTGTTCTAATAATTTGACAAATAATTCGGCAGTCATCCAACCTGATTTTGAGCCATAACCTATGGCACCGGGTACAGAACCATTTAAAAAATGATTTTTCATGCGGATGCGAGGATATATATACATCGGAGGGATTGTGTTACCCGTAGCGGAAACTACGCCGCAAAATGTAACTAATGTGCCCCTTTCCCCAGAAACACACTGACCAACAACTCTTTTGCCAGTTTCTGCTATCACTTTAGGTGCCTGAATGACTGTAGATATACCAGTCTCATCTGTATTCCAAATACGACTCGGATCAAACTTGTATTTGTCTTGTACCTGAATATAATTATTAAAAAATTCATCAACATTATGTTTATTAAAAGCCGACGCCCGTGCAACACTGGTGTTTTCGGGTTTTCTCAATGATAGTCTTGGATGGCGCTTCATAAACAACCGCATCCATTCGACGCCAGCAATTTCGTTTTCTTTCCACTGTATAGGAAAAGTTTTTTGCAATTTAACTGCATACTGATACGCCAATTTCCGAGTTGCCTGATATGTCAAACCATATAAAATTTGTGATGATTGCTTAAGATATGATTCAAGTTCATTTTCTTCGTTTACAGAAAATATTTGCCGAGTAGCATATTTTGAAAGGCCTGAAATTTGCAACGAGCCTTCATCACTGTCATTTCCAGAATCAGAATGGGCAATTTGCCTCTTGGCCTTTGAAACTCTGTCATGAAGCGTCGATTTTTTTACACCAAATGTGCTAGCAGCAAGTCGTATCGACATATTATTTTGAATTACATTTGAAACAGCTGTTTGGATTGTTTCTTCAGGAACCTCGGGTCGATTTCGTTTTTTAACGTAATTTCTAACCATGCTAAATAAACGTTATATATTATAATCCAAATGAAACAAGCTTAACAACAAAGTGGGGCACCTCCGGACAGTCCGAATGTGCCCCACACTATACTGTCCGGTTGTGCCTCACATGCACATCATGTAAACACTTTAAAAAATCTGAGAATTTTGAACTTGCCGCTTCTTAAAATATAGGTTATGTAATGTGAAAATATGATACTTTATGCCTAATATACTTTGCAATAAAAAAAATACAAAACTAAATAGTGCAAATCCTTAGGAGTAGATGGCCATAATACTTACTTCAGGTAGCGTTTTACGACTTTTAATAATAACTTCAAAATCACTTAAAATACCGGCACGAAATTTTGACACACGGATTGAACAAAGCACTGTAACCAACTGTTAAAATATGAAATCACATTTCGCTATGGAAGGCGGTAAAATCAAATTGTCCGGAGGTGCCCCATGTCCGAACCTGCCCCGGTCTACCCTA